CACCACGCTTATTCGCTTTCGCCAAACTCCATAAAGACGGTAAACAACTACATCCGGTCGTCGACAAGTCGAGATCTCCGACTATACTTATAGAACGCATGCTTAACTCCTTTGTAACCAGCACCATCGAGGAATATCCGTGTACTGTGTCCAATCCGGTACAGTTGATTCACAGATTGAATGCACTTGACAGCTTGCGTATATTTCACTGTTTGTGATTTTGAATCCATGTTCCCATCCATCCGCATCGAGCCATGTTTTTGTGAGTTAAGGGATTTTCTCATTAGAAATATCAATGACTCTTCTGAACATCTATCTGACATCTTAGAGTTGGCACATCTTGTATGTCACTCATCTTTTTTCGTATTTGAGGGAGATACTTTCCTGCAGTCTAGAGGGGTGCCTATGGGTAGCCCCATATCAGGAACATTATGTGAATTGGTGGTCAGGCGCCTCGAACAACAAATCTTACCTGACTTTAACGATGACATTATATTATACGCTAGATACGTGGATGACGTATTCATTGTTTGGAAGAAAAAACCAGACTTGGCGGCATTCACTGAAACTTTCAATAGTAACGCTTATGGCCTCTCGTTGAGGGCTGAACAGCAGAGCTCCACCAACGTGCATTTTCTTGATATTGACATTAGCTTGCAACAGGGTCGAATAACAACTAAAGTATACCATAAGAGCTCGTATGCGCCTCTTTTTATACATGCTCAATCACATGATCCGGTTGGTTACAAGATCTCCGCTTTTAAGACCCTAGTAAGAAGAGCTTTTACCCATTGTTCAAGCGAGGAAGATAGAAAAATGGAATTGGAATCTATTTCGAATGTGACTAGGCTACATGGTTACCCTACGCGCCTAACTAAAACACTTATAGCACGCCACCAACAACCTAGGAGTACAACACTTCGGAATAACCAACCCTTCGTTCCTATTACTTACAACAAGATCCTTCATAGCACCTACAAACAAATCGCTCGGTATGCTGGTAAAAATATCGCTTACAGAAGATCGCAGACCATTTTCTCCTGTTTACGAAACGATAAGGACCGTCTTGATAGGAACTGTGTTCTGGGAATATATTCTATCCCTATTTACGATCATAGGGTGAATCGTCCTGGCGAATATATTGGTGCTACCACATGCTGCCTTAAAACAAGGGTCAAGGAACACAAGTACTCAATTCAAAAACGCCTTTCCAATACAGCTTTGGCCACTTTCGCGCTTGATGATGACGTCATGGTGGAATTTGATAATGCACGTTTAATACAACGGTGTGAACACCAGGCTAGCCTGAAATATCTAGAACAGCTGGAAATTTTTAAAGCATTCAGAAAGGGAACAGCCATCAATTTCAAGGAAACAGACTCTTTGGCGACGGCGTGGATAGTGTATTATGACGTATAATGGATGCGCACCATATATGTCTACACTATAATATAAACATCGGATTTTTGAAGCAGGAAACCAATTCCACGAATAGTTTTATTAAGGCCCTGCATCGGACATGCGCATAATTGCGATGTTCGATTTTTTTGAAATCTTGGAATCGAACCTGAAGATGACCGGTGAAGATGGTAGAAAACGTTCGTTTTTAAATTGAATTTTGCTGGTATATTGGTAATTTTGTGGTTAGGTTTGTATTTTTGTCTATTCCTTATATTGGTTGACTTTCTCTTACAGCTTAGTCTCCCAGTTTCAGCTGTGTTGTCTCACTTCTCATTTACTGACAAAGTATGTCAAATGTCACCTATCTGCATATTAGCAGGTAAAAATCCACCTAATTGAGTGTTCAATTTTGAGAACAACAGTAATTAAGAAATTAAAAGTTTAAGGAAGTTTAATGTGAAGAATTTGATAATTTTTTCATTTGAAAAAACCCTGAAGATGAAACACACTCCAAAAGCATATAGTATATAAAAAATTAAATACAGTAGAACCTCGATTATCCGGATTCTTAAAAATAAACAAAAATTTTACGAATTTGCTGATTTGCACTTGGCAAATTACGATACTGTTTATGTACGTGATGGAATGCATAACTTTTTTTGTTTCAACAACGTCTCAACCAGCACAGTGGTCGTAAAATCTTAAATATATTTTGCGTCGTAATAAAAATATAATTTGACATACATATTTATAAATAATTTATATTGAAATTACATCATTTCTATGACCAAGGGCAGCGTATGGGCAACGTGGGCCACCGCCTATGCCTCGCGGTCTGAAGGGCCTCGCGCCTCAAAGGTTTATGCATTACTTAAAAGCTGCGAATGTGACAAAAAAATTTTACTCATCATAAAACGATAAATAGTTTGTCAAATTTTTATTCATAAAAATGCAGTTTTGACTGCTTTTTATTTTATAAAATCTGTCTTCTTGCGCCACCAGAGGAACTTTTAAACAATAGGTAGTCTGTTAGCGCTGGTCAGTAGTAGTCCAAATTCAATACGAACGTTTGTTTCTTAAAAATTTAATTACAATTTAAATACAGTATTTATTTTTAATATTACCGATATGTCATTGAAAAGAAAATGTGTTGTATTATCATTAAAAGACAAATTAAAGTATTTGTTTCAATTATCCAAATTTTTCCTTATCTGGACTACCTTCATCCCCAATTAGTCTGGATAATCAAGGTTCTATTGTATTTTAAATGTTTTTCATTAAATTAATATTTAATAATGTTGGTTATTTCAGATTTACAATAAAATTTTAAAAAAATAAAAAATAAAATCAAACTACTTCCTATGAAAAAATTTTATTTTATTTTGTTCTTATAAAATTGTTTGTAATAAATACAAGCAATTATTTATTGTGACATCATCACAATGCCAGACTTCCTTAATTAAATTCTTAATTCTTAATATTTTTAATTTATTTAATTTAAAATATATGCTCTCCACCTCAAATTAGTAGTGACTTGCCCCTGTGCATCATACTTTTCTTTAACAATAGTGTTGTGCCAATCATCTACCTAACACCTTTCAGGGAAAAATTTTGGAATTGAAATAACGTGACTTCTGGCAGAAACCGAAAGTTCATATATGGTTAATTGGGGCTTCCTGAAAATAAGCTTTTCATATCTGGTTTTGAATTTTATCTACCTAACTTTGTTCTTCAGATTAAGGAAGAACAGACAAACAGATTCAGATTGATGACAGGATGACAGTGGAAATTTACAGGTATATAAATTTTTCAACTTGCAACCCAATTAATATAATTAAGCATAAATACAAACGTTTCAATTGTTTGCAAATAATTTTGATCATATCTCAATAAAACAGAATTTCAAAATTTTCTCTCATAGACATTTTTATTTACTTTTACATAAAAAAATGTAAATTTGGAATAACTCAAATATAATGTGTAAGTTTATTAATAAATCAAAAACAAACCTAAAAGGTTAGTTTGGAAATTTTAAATCTAAAAAATTTATAACATTTCCACAGTAAAACTTTTATGGTTTGTTGAATTTGGGTTGTTTGGTACAAGGGCCTAAGTAGGCCAAAAAAGTAACGGGTCTAGCTAGACATTTAAATATTTGAATAACTTTTTGGTTGTTTTAATAATCCATAAATCTTTCTATTGAATATACTGTTTTAGTAATGCTTCAAAATATGACATAATAGATTGAATTTGTTCACTGTCTTCTAGTAACATGCAAAGAACTTTATTACCATCTGGAAATAGTTGTTGTTGGAGATAATCTTCTCAGGCTGTTTTATATTAAGGACAAATTAATAGTATGTGTCAGACCATAAGCAGGATATGACACATGTTGGTTTGATATCCTTTGTTATTAGATATCTGTGTCAATGTGTGTGACCAGTCCTGTCAAGCAAGTACAATTTCTTCTTTCTGGTTTTTCCATTGGCTAGTTGTCCATTTTATTAAGTCTGGTTTTATAGCATGTAGTTTGTTATTTATCTGTTTGTCTCATTTCTCTTGCCATTTGTCAAACATGTATTTGTTTGTATGGCTACATAATTCTTCATGATATAGTCAGAATGTTTTTGACTGGTTACAGTTTGTTTGTTTTGTGATTTCTCAACCATTTTGTTTCCTTGAATTCCTATATGGCCAGGCAGCCAATAAAAGATTATAACATTTCCTGTGTTTTTGAGACATTGAAGTAGTTAGAATATATTTTTCAGAGTTATATTGTCAATTTTCCTGTAGCTGTTTATTGCCTGCAGAGCACTGAGAGAGTCAGTATATATATTAACATTTATCTGTCATCATGTCTTGTATATGTTGAAAAACCGTAAGGATTGCAAACAGCTATGCAATAAAGACTGTTATTTCCACAGACAGTCCTGCAGCATAAATAGTTTCAATGCATACAAAAGCTGTTCTTATTATTGTTGTTTTGGAACCATCTGAATAACTTTTATAATTATACACAATGCATAATATAATATTCAACTTTTATATGTAAAAATGTAAAATTTAATATTCATTACAAAGAATTTAGTTCATATTTGACTTACATTATATCCATAAAAAGCTTCAACTGCCCATTCTCCTAGCAAAGAATAAGGTGGAAATTTAAAATTTATTGTTGGAAAATGCACAGAATGTATCTTCCATGGTTCTGAATAAGTATTTTCATATACACTTCAATTGAATTTTATATTTAAATTAAGTTTAAGATACATTATCAAATATTTTCACTTTTTTACAGTTTTTACAATAGCAGACTCTTACAGTATTAAGTTATTTACTATTTCTTAGTTTGGACAGATATATGAGGAGAACTTTTTTCATAATTTTCTTGTTTTTACTCTAAACATTCATATTCAATTATGGCTTCTAAAATCAGCATTCGTTTTCTCCTTTTAACGGCTCAGCAAGCATTTTCCTGGTGTTCTCTAGATTAATAAAAATAGTCATATTATTATAATCCACATTACCATAAACATTCTAAAGTTAATTACTTTATTACAGTATTTAATTTTAAATACATTTTCAAAAGAAAATTAACTTACTTCCAAAAACAATTGAAATACTAAATTCTGTCACTGTTTTAAGTAAGTCAGTGATATTGGATTATGAGGAGATATCTTTTAGTACAGTGGATAAGCATTGCCTAATTTGAATAAATATGAATAAGAAGAAAAGAATATCTGCCTCTAGTCCTTCTGTAAACGTAAATAATAATGCAAAAGTGTAAACAATTATTTTAAATCTTTAAATTCTTTGATAAATATATAAGTCAAACTTTGAATTATTGTTAACAACAGCATTAGTATGTAAAAAATAACACTTTTATTACAAAGAAATAACTACAAATCAGTTATGTAATCAAACATTAATAATTTCATATACAATTTAACAATTTCTTTTATTGATCTTGCATTTATGAAATTTTTCTGTGTTTAAATTACAGTGATGATGATAATCTAAATGAACTGAAAAAAATTATATATATATATTTTTTATTAGTGATATAATTAATTGTAGAAACAAAGATTCCAGTTTCTATTATGCAAAATTATAACTTGTCTTAATATTACATATTTATTAATTTAATATTACTTATTATTTTTCTTCATAAATCTTGATACAAAGTCTTAATTTGTACATTTAAGTAATGAGATAATAAATACATTTTAAATGTTNCCAGTGGGTAAAATAAAGTTGTTGATTGGCTAATAATTTTGGAAACAATGGATGTGATAATTCTTAGAGAATAACAGTGTTTGAACTGGTTACATATTGATCTACATCACTAATAATTTAAAAAAATAATTTTTCTGTCCACTTCTATTCCATTTTTTAAATATCAATATGTAATCAGTAGTCAATCAACAACTTTTTTACCCAGTGGGTAAAATAAAGTTGTTGATTGGCTAATAATTTTGGAAACAATGGATGTGATAATTCTTAGAGAATAACAGTGTTTGAACTGGTTACATGTTGATATGGTTAAAGAATTAAGATGCAAACAAAAACAAGACAGAAATTTCTCGAAATATAAACCACTATTATAGTATTAACAAATAGATTTATGGATAAACATGACTTGATTTAGACAGAGTTAGATAGCCTAATAAATAGGATTTAACAATAATTGTTGATCAATAAAAATATAAAACAATGGGATCGGTGAGATTTCTAAAAATATAATTTCTAAAAATAAATGATTATCTCCAAATGCATTTTGCCGTTACAGCCTCATCAGTGGATTATTCGGTGAATAATCCACCGATGAGGCTGTAACGGCAAAATGCATTTGGAGAGTTTNAATAAATGATTATCTCCAAATGCATTTTGCCGTTACAGCCTCATCAGTGGATTATTCGGTGAATAATCCACCGATGAGGCTGTAACGGCAAAATGCATTTGGAGAACCTTTTGGAAAATTCTTTGAGAAATTTGAAAAGAATAAAAGAAATAACGTT